TTTGGGAGGCCGAGGCAGGCGGATCACAAGGTCAGGAGATCAAGACAATCCTAGCCAACATGGTGAAACCCCCGTCTCTACTAAAATACAAGCATTAGCTGGGCATGGTGGCGCGTGCCTGTAATCCCAGCTGCTTGTGAGGCTGAGGCAGGAAAATTGCTTGTACCCAGGAGGCAGAGGGTGCAGTGAGTTGAGATCCTGCTATTGCACTTCAGCCTGGCGACAGAACAAGACTCCATCTCAAAAAAAAAAAAAAAAAAAATAGGGCTAGGTGTGGTTCACGCCTGTCTATCATCCTAACACTTTGGGAGGCTGAGGATCACTTGAGGTCAGGAGCTCAAGACCAGACTGAGCAACACAGTAAGACCCCATTTCTACAAAAGATAAAAGAAGAAATTAGTGTTGAGAAATATTAAGTTTACCCTGCCCCCATGGCTCCTTTGTGGAGGATACCTTGTAGTTTGTAATCAGTGGTAGATGGGTAACAGCTGCCTACGTGGTACATTCCTGCATTATGTGTATATGTAGAACACCTGTGTATTAATAAGAATCACCTGTCAAAGAGCAAATAAATATGTGGAAGAATCTCTACTCAGGGCCTTCAGTCCTGGAGAGCTGTAAGCCCCACAGGCTCTCAGGCTGTTGGTCCCCAGGATAGATCCACTCTGTTGGGCTATCTGGGTGTCTGCCTCTCAATACCTTCAGCCCGCCTGGGTGGGGGTCTCCAGATGGAGTTGGGTCTGGCAATTAGCCAGACATGGTAATATGCACTTGTACTTGGGAGGGTGAGGAGGAAGGATCACTTAAGTCCAGGAAGTCAAGGCTGTAATGCCATGATTGTGCCACTGTACTTCAGCTTGGGTGATAGAGTGAGACCCTGTGTCTAGAAAAAAAGAGAGAGAAAGAAGAAGAAATAAGCGGGCCATGTGGCTCATTCCTGTAGTTCCAGCACTTTGGGAGGCCAAGGAGGGCAGATTGCTTGAGCCTAGGAGTTCCAGACCAACCTAGGCAACAGCAAGACCCCGTCTCTTAAAACAAAACAAAACAAACAAAAAACAAAACAATGAGATCTATGCAGTATAGTTGACAGAGTGATTTCATAATCATTATTTCATTTATCCTCACAGCAAGCTCCTTGAGGGCAAGGCTGGGTTCTGTATTGTTTACCACTGTATCTCAAGCACCTAGCACAGAATATGGCACATCGTGTGTGTGCTCCACAAATAACTGTTAAATGAATAAACAAAGAATGAACAGAAAATTGAGTTACACAGAGCAAGGGATATGATCTCCCCTTTTAGAGATGAGGAAATTGAGGCTCTTATTGTTCAGGTGCTTTTGAATCATGGAATGTATGACTAGCACAAATCAGGCCTTTCTTTTTCCATGACATGCCAGCCCTCCTTTCCCCCACCTCAACACAGAGCCAGGCTATATCTTCAAGACATAGAGGGAACCGGTTGCTAGAGGTTGTGGGGAGGGTGAGATGAACAGGCACAACACAGAGGATTTTTAGGGTAGTGAAAGAAAATACTCTGTATCCACTATGATCATGAATACATTTCATTGCACATTTGTCTAAACCCACAGAATGTTCAACACTGAGAATGAACCATAATGTAAACTATAAACTGTAGGTGATAATGATGTGTCAATGTAGGTTCCTCCGGTGTAACATACGTACCACTCTGGTGTGGGATGTTGATAATGGGGGAGGATGTGCACATGTGGGGCCAGGAAATATAAAGGAAATCTCTGTATTTACCTCTCATTTTCCCTGTGAATCCATAGCTACTCCGAAAAAAAAAAGTCTTTAAAAAAAAAATAAAAAAATTAAAAAAAAGACATAGAGGGATCTATCTTTTGGAAGCAGAATGAGGGCCTGTCACAACAAATTGCCAACTTTAGTTGTGTGCCTGGCCCATTTTCTTGAGGGAAAGAAATCAAAAGGAAAACTCTAGGATGAAGGTCAGGAAGGGGCACACTGTATTTCCCTTCCTACTGCCACTGCTTAAGGTGAGACCTGATCACTTTGCCCTGGTCTATTTTGCTTGCCTCCTTACTGGCCTCCTGACTCCAGACTTTCCCACTCCCATCCACTATCTCCTGAAAAGCAGAGACCCGTAATCCCAGCTATTGGGAAGGCGGAGGTGGGAGAATCCCTTGAGCCCAGGAGTTTCAGACCAGCTTGGGCAACATGGAGAAATGCTCTCATTAAAAGAAAAAAGAAAAGAAAAGGAAGAAAAGCAGAAACCTTATAGTGTAACTCTTCTGCTTAGCAACTTCCTATTCCCTGCCCTTAGGTAATGCCCAGACATTTTAATTTGGCACACAGACTGATCCTTACCTGCTTCTTGGGCCATTTCCCTTATCAGGCAACCCAGGCTCCAACCACATTTGGGGAACCACTTTTCTTCAAATATGCTCCTATCTTCGCTGCTGCCTTTGCATATGCTGTTCCCTCTGCTTAGAATGCAGTGTTCCCCTTTCCCTGCTTAACCATGAGAACTACTCACTTTTTTTTTTTTAAGGTGGAGTTTTGCTGTTGTCCAGGCTGGAGTACAATGGTGCAATTCCGGCTCACTGCAACCTTCACCTCCTGGGGTCAAGCGATTCTCCTGCCTTAGCCTCCTGAGGATAGGTGAGTAGCTGGGATTACAGGCATGCTCCACTACACCCAGATAATTTTTTCTTTTCTAAAAATTATTTTGAACAGAGTCTAGCTCTGTCGCCCCAGGCTGGAGTGCAGTGACGTGATCTTGGTTCACTGCAACCTCTGCCTCCTGGGTTCAAGCTATTCTCCTGCCTCAGCCTCCCAAGTAGTTGGGATTACAGGCGCCTGCCACCATGCCCAGCTAATTTTTGTATTTTTAGTAGAGACAGGGTTTCACCATATTGGCCAGGCTGGTCTCGGACTCCTGACCTCATGATCTGCCCACCTCAGCCTCCCAAAGTGCTGGGATTACAAACATGAGCCAAAGCACCCGGCCTAATTTTTGTATTTTTAGTAGAGACGGGGTTTTGCCATGTAGGTCAAGCTGGTCTCTAACTCCTGACCTCAGGTGATCCACCTGCCCTGGCCTCCCAAAGTGTTGAGATTACAGGTGTGTTGAGATTGAAAGTGAGTAGTTCTTGCAGTTGGGTGCAGTGGCTCACGCCTGTAATTTCAGGGTGTCTTTCCAGATGGTCAGGGTATCTGTCCTCTCCACTACTACAGGAAAAAATGAACACTGATTTTCCTTAGCATTTCACACTCTAATTTGCTCACAATGTGTGCCCATCTTTCCTTGTTGTCTATGGGACAGTAGCTTCCTTATCTTTGTAACCATCCCAGTGTTTAGCACAGTGCCTGCCTCAAGCGAGGCATCAAAAACATTTGCTGAGGAGCATGTCTCCCATACACCATTGTGAGCTCATCTGCATACCTTATGGCCCAGAAGAGCTCAGCAAACCTGGGCTGAATAAATGAGAAGGGCTCACTGTCCATGTTTCCTCTTCCAGCCTGAACCCTCCATCCTATCTATGCCCATAGGAGGCAGTGACCCTACAAGCAGCTGTTTCTACTCTAGCACATGACCCTGATCATATACCTTTGCTAGCCTAGGATTACTGGTCCTCCCAGCTCGAGCCTCGGTTGACCTTTCCCACTCCTTTTTTTAAATCCTTCCTACTCTAAGTTCCACATTCTGCTTACCTTCCCCCAAACATACCAGAATGTTCCAAATGTATGTGCTACTGCATGTGCACTATTACATCTGCCTGCTTCTCTAACTGAAACACCCCTTTCCCCTCTTGTCTACCTAGGAAGTGGCTAATCCAGACTATTCCCTCCTCCAAGAAGCCCAGAGAACATTAACCATTCTCTCCCCTGTGCTCTGCTGTACCTTGCAACTGTTGGATTCATCCCAGTATAGTATTACTTGCTTGTTCCAGTGTCTTGGTATCCTCTCCATCTACCATAGTACTCAGCAAGGAAGAGGGTCTCAGTGACTGTATGCTAAGAGCATCAAGACATCACATTCTGCCAGGACAGTAGTGTCATCTTTCAGAGATATTTATTTAGAGACGGAGTGTTACCCTTCACCAGGCTGGAGTACAGTGGCATGATCTTGGCTCACTGCAACTTCTGACTCTGGGGTTTAAGCGATTCTTCTGCCTCAGCCTCCTGAGTAGCTGGGACTACAGGCAAATGCCACCATGCCCGGCTAATTTTTGTATTTAGTAGAGATAGGGTTTCACCATATTGGCCAGGCTGGTCTCAAACTCCTGACTTTGTGATCCGCCCGCCTCTGCCTCCCAAAGTGTTGGGATCGCAGGTGTGAGCCACCATGCTCAGCTTATTTTTATTTTCTTTGAGACAGTCTTGCTCCGTCACCCAGGCTGGATTGCAACGGCACGATCTTGGCTCACTGTAACCTCTGCCTCTCAGGTTCAAGCAATTCTTGTGCTTCAGCCTTCCAAGTAGTTAGGACTACAGAGATGTGCCACCATGCCCAGCTAATTTTTGTATTTTTCGTAGAGACAGGGTTTTGCCATCTTGGCCAGGCTAGTCTCCAACTCCTGGCCTCAAGTGATCCACCTACCTTGTACTCCCAAAGTGCTGGGATTACAGGTGTGAGCTACATAAATTCAGAGATTTTATGTTCAGCTCTACCACTTCCTAGCTGTGTTACTATGGGCAAATCACTGTAACTCTCTGAGCTCCAGTTCTTCATTCATTGGAGTGACAGCACTTTCCTCCTAGGGTTGTCATAAAAGTTAGATTAAGGCAAGGCCTGAAATACACACAGTGCAGCATCTGGTACACAGTGAACATTCAATTCACAGCAGCTATCACTGCTACCATGGCCTCTGGTGCTTCCTCATCTTCTCTCTACTGAAGGCGGCAGTACCCACAGATGCTTCAGAAGCCACATGTGTGGGGTTTCCTAAACCAGAATCCCACACCTCTACAATATGCTTCACATACACGAAGGAAAGAACCACAGGACACAGGCTTGTTGGGAGTATAAAAATAGGACTTTTTCCTCATCACATCAATTATCAAAGAAACAGTACGTAACAAAAATACAAAGCTCTGGTGGATTTTTTTTCCTTTTTTTTTTGCCCCCCTCCCACTCCTACCCAACAGCCCCTTGCCAGGGAGCCCCTGGCTGAAGCCTGGATGCTGTCCCTGAGGTTACCCCAGGGCTCAGGAGAAACGGTGGTCCAGGTCTCTCTGGGGGCTAGCAGAGTATGAGTAGGCCTTGCCCAATACCAGGCGGTCCCGGAGCAGCTTGAAGAAGGCATAGTAGTTGCTGAAGAGGATGAGGGCTAGCGAGATGGTCTGGTGCCATTTATCAGAGGACATTAGGGAGTACAGCTGGTAGACAATGACAGCGCCCTCCAGCAGCAGGAGGATGTTGAGGATCCGCAAGGGTTTGCTGAAAAAGAACTGCCCGGGAGAGGGTGGGAATGGCTAAAGGGTATGCTCTAGAAACCTTCCTCCTAGGAGGGGTTCTGGGTGAGCCAGTGAAGGAGACAGGCTCTTGGGTCCCCATGCAGACATGGGTGGGGAGGAAGACTTTCTGGGGTTGGATGTGGACTTTGCCACCTCATCTGCCTTTGCTTGTGGTATTCCTCCTGATGGGACTGCTGCTTCCGATGTTAAGTCATCTAAGACCCTGTTCAACTGCAACCTCCTCTAGGAAGTCTTTCTTGACAAGTTCTGCGTGGTCTCTCAAACTGTGTCTTTGAAAATTTTTTCTCTCATCCACTGACCCTCAATAAAATCAACACCTTGTTGTTTTTTTTTTTTTTTTGAGACAGAGTTTCGCTCTTGTTGCCTAGGCTGGAGCGCAATGGCACAATCTTGGCTCAATGCAACATCTGTTTCCTGGGTTCAAGCGATTCTCCTGGCTCAGCCTCCCGAGTAGCTGTGATTACAGGCATGCGCCACCACACCTGGCTAATTTTGTATTTTTAGTAGAGATGGGGTTTCTCCATGTTGGTCAGGCTGGTCTCGAATTCCTGACCTCAAGTGATCTGCCCACCTTGGCCTCCCAAAGTGCTGGGATTACAGGCATGAGCCACTGCGCCTGGCCAAAATCAACAGCTTTTAATTGTTTGGCCTCAACAAATTAGAATCTTATGACATAAGCATGGAAAGTTATTACAGACTCCACAGCCTGAATTATCTACTATGAAGTCATAGGCAGCATCCCTAGCTAGGCTGGAAGCTGCAGGGGACATGGCAACAGCTCAACTCTCAACAGCAAGACAGAGTGTAGGGACTAAAGTAAAAATTTCTGATCAGTTCAAAAGCATGCACAGTGTCTAGCAATTGATTCCACAGGGGCCAAGGTACCTAAATCTCAAGAGCTGCTTAAAGGACAGGAGAAGTGGAAGGAAATGGGAGATGAAGAGACCAGGATGCCAGGCTCCGATCTGTACCTAACAGGCTGCAATGCTTTGGGCAAGCCCCTTTCCTCTCAGCCTCAGGTTTCTCAGTTGTGAAATGAAGATACCAGCCTAGGTCACTGATTTCTCACACTGTGTTCCTTAGAGCCCCAGGTTTCCAGGGGGCTCTTTAGGAGTTACAGCAGGGGTGAGCGGGAAGTGAAGGGGGTTCTAACTCCTCCAAAGAGAGCAGTGCCAGGAGGTCCCATATATTGGATTTTGGCCTCTGATTGCGTGTGTGTGTGTGTGTGTTTTAAAGTGTGACGGGGAAGATTTGATAGTGAAATAAAAAGAAAATAGAGACCACTAGTTTAGATGATTTTGAGCAGCCCTTTCCATAGCTGAGTCATGAGTTATTACCATTAGTTCTCAAGTTTCCCAGTAAGGCACTCTTTCACAAGTTAAACTCTCTAAGCTGATTTCGGTATCTAAAAACAGAGATAGCCCAACTGTATCTTTCACATACAAGGTTCGGGGAAGGCTGACTAGGAGGGTGGATGGGCAGAGCTTAACGACATGCCTGGCACACAACAAGAAATGAAGACAGTATTGTCTTTCATTGCCAGGAGCCCCTTCTTTCATTGCATCAGCTTCTCTCCCTCTGTCCAATGTTCTGAAAGGTCTGCGACCAAATGAGCTGCAGTTATTTATTTATTTTTGAGACTGAGTCTTGCTCTGTTGCCCAGGCTGGAGTCTCAGCTCACTGCAACCTCCATCTCCCCAGTTCAAGCGATTCTCCCTCCTCAGCCTCCCGAGTAGCTGGGACTACAGGCATGTGCCACCACGCCTGGCTAATTTTTGTATTTTTAGTGGAGACAGGGTTTCACCATGTTGACCAGACTGGTCTGGTCTTGAACTCCTGACCTTAGGTGATCTGCCTGCCTCAGCCTCCCAAAGTGCTGGGATCACAGGCGTGAGCCACCATGCCCGGCCTAGCTGCAGTTATTAAGTGACAATTTGTATGGCTGTCCTTGTGCTACCTGTGTGTACTGTTTTCCTTTGGATTGGGGAAATACTGAAAATAGCTTTCTCTTGCTATGACATCACATTCCTGCCCTGCAGATATTCCCTCCCTCTCCCTGAGGGCCCAACCCTCCTTCCCCGGGAGGAGACTCACGTGGAACCGGAAGTGGGAGACATCAGAGGGGATAGCCACGTTGTAGTGGCCTACGGCTTTGTAGACGTTCTTGCTGTGCTTCACCAGCACGCCCTGCGGCCACATGCATTCTTCGGTCCACCTGGAGACACAGCCCAACAGTGCCCCTTATCCCCAGCTCACCCAAAAAAGGGGTACCAGAAGACCGGGCAGGAGGGAATCACCAGGGCTGTACTCCCATTTCTATCACTTAGACACACTGACTTTTGCTGGGTTTTAGTTGCCTCCTCTGTAAAATGGGGTAAGAATCATGAGGAATTCACTGCATTGGGAGTTAAAAGGTCTAGAGCTGACACTAATTACTAAGGAAACTGTTGAGAAAACCCTTTTTCTTCTCTGGGTTCCTTTGCTTCATCTGGTCTCAGCGCTTGGCTCCAATTGGTCCACCACACAGTTGCCTGAGTGGTCTTTGTAAAATACTAAGCTGAGCCTGGCCACCCTCTGCTTAAAAGCCTTTGTGCTTTGTTGTTGTTTTTGAGAAGGAGTTTCATTCTCCTTGCTCAGGCTGGAATGCAGTGGTGCAATCTCAGCTCACTGCAACCTCCATCTCCCAGGTTCAAACAATTCTCCTGCCTAAGCCTCCTGAGAGTACGTGGGATTACAGGCACCTGGACCACCCCTGCCTAACTGTTGTATTTTTAGTAAAGATAGGGTTTTACCATGTTGGCTGAGCTGGTCTTGAACTCCAGACCTCAGGTGATCCACTTGTCTCGGTCACCCAAAGTGCTGGGATTACAGGCATGAGCCACCACATCTGGCCCTCCTTAAAACCCTTTGAAGGCTTCCCAGTGCCCTTGGGGTCAAGGCCCCAAGGATTCACCATGGCCTCTGAGGTCTTCTGTGGCTTCCTACAACTCTAACCACACAGCTCATGCTGTTTCCAGTTCCTCCAGTGGTGGCTCATGCCTGTAATCCCAGCACTTTGGGAGGCTGAGGCGGGCAGATCACGAGGTTAGGAGATCGAGACCATCCTAGTTAACGTGGTGAAACCCTGTCTCCGCTAAAAATACAAAAAATTAGCTGGGTGTGGTGGAATGCTCCTGTAGTCCCAGCTACTCGGGAGGCTGAGGCAGGAGAATCACTTCAACCTGGGAGGTGGAGGTTGCAGTGAGCCAAGATCATGCCACTGCACTCCAGCCTGGGCAACAGAGTGAGACTCTGTCTTAAAAACAACAATAACAACAACAAAAAAACACTAAAGCTCCTCCACAAAGCTTTTCTCAAACTCCCTAGAGTTTGGCATCCTTTTTTTTTTTTTTTTTGGAGACAGAGTCTCACTCTGTCACCCAGGCTGGAATGTAGTGGCACTCAGCTCACTGCACCTCCCGGGTTCAAGTGATTCTCCTAGCTCAGCCTTCTGAGTAGCTGGGCCTACAGGCACTCGCCACCAGGCCCGGCTAATGTTTTTTTGTAGTTTTAGTAAAGATGGGGTTTCGACATGTTGCCTAGGTTGGTCTCGCACTCCTGACCTCAGGTGATCCACCTGCCTCGGTCTCCCAAAGTGCTAGGATTACAGACATGAGCCACTGAGCCCAGACTGTTTGGTATCCTTTAACTGTTTCCTGAATCTCCTGCTACTGGTCCACATTCTCCAATGCTGGTTATTTATTGATTTCCCTTACTAGGCTGAGAGCCCTTGAGTGTGAGGGTCTAATCCATCCTTTTGTCCTCAGATGCCGCAAGGCCTGGCATGAAGAGGCCCCAGTAAGCATGTGAATGACATGGTGGGACCAGTGAGCTTTCTTCCAATATCCTGTGAGATCTCCCAGGAATCCCAAGGGCACAGACCAGAGGACTGAAAGTCACAGCCTATAAGCAGCCCCTTTCTCAACCCAATGCTTCTGCCTTGTTGACTCACTTATTTAAAAAAAAAATGGTCGGCTGGGCGTGGTGGCTCATGTCTGTAATCACAGCACTTTGGGAGGCTGAGGCAGGCAGATCACCTGAGATCAGGAGTTCGAGACAAGCCTGGCCAACATGGCAAAACCCTGACTCCACTAAAAATACAAAAAAAAAAAAAATTAGCTGGGTGTGGTGGTAGACGCCTGTAATCCCAGCAACTTGGGAGGCTGAGGTAGGAGAATGGTTTGAACCCAGGAGGCAGAGGTTGCAGTGAGCCAAGACTGTGTCACTGAACTCCAGTCTGGGTGAAAGAGTGAGACCTGCATCTCAAAATAAAAAGAAAGAAAAAAATGGAATAGTTACTGTGCAACTCACAACATGAATGAACCTCACAGACAATATGCTGAATAAAAGAAGTTGGGACTGGACACAGTGGCTGACGCCTATAATCCCAGCACTCTGGGAGGGCGAGGCAGGCGGATCATGAAGTCAGGAGTTCAAGACTAGCCTGGCCAGCTGGTAAAACCCTGTCTCTACTAAAAATACAAAAAATTAGCGGGACATAGTGGTGTGTGCCTGTAATCCCAGCTACTTGGGAGGGTGAGGCAGGAGAATTGCTTTAAACTGGGAGGCAGAGGTTGCAGTAAGCTGAGATCGCACCACTGCACTCCAGCCTGGGCAGCAGAGCAAGACTCCATTTCAAAAAAAAAAAAAGGAAGTTGGACACAACAGTACATCTATTGAATGATTTCATTTATATTAAGTTCTAGGATAGGCAAAACTAACCTCTGGTGAAAGAAAACAGAAAGGAAGTTGCTTGGGAAAAAGATCACTGGGAAGGGCCATGAGGACATTTTCTAAAGGGCTGAAAACATCCTATGTCTTAATGAGGGGTGGGTTACATGAGCATATATACCTTTATCAAAACTCAAAGAATTGTACACTTTAAGATTTGTAGGCCAAGCGCAGTGGCTCATGCCTGTAATCCCAGCACTTTGGAGGCTGAGGTGAGAGGATCACTTGAGCCCAGGAGCTCAAGACCAGCCTGGGCAACATGGCAAAACTTCATCTCTACAAAAAAAAAAAGAAAATACAAAAATTAGATGGTTGTGGTGGCGTGCGCTTGCAATCCTAGCTACTTGGGAGGCTGAGGTGGGAGGATCACCTGAGCCCAGGAGGGTGTAGCTGCTATGAGCTGTGATTGCATCACTGTACTCCAGCTTGGGAGACAGAGTGAGACCTTGTCTCAAAAAAAAAAAAAAAAAAAAAAAAAAATTGCACATTTTGGCCAGGCGCGGTGGCTCAAGCCTGTAATCCCAGCACTTTGGGAGGCCGAGGCAGGTGGATCACGAGGTCAAGAGATCGGGACCATCCTGGTCAACATGGTGAAACCCTGTGCCTACTAAAAATACCAAAAAAATTAGCTGGGCATGGTGGCGTGTGCCTGTAATCCCAGCTACTCAGGAGGCTGAGGCAGGAGAATTGCCTGAACCCAGGAGGCGGAGGTTGCGGTGAGCCAAGATCTCGCCATTGCACTCCAGCCTGGGTAACAAGAGCGAAACTCCGTCTCAAAAAAAAAAAAAAAAAAAAAAAATTGCACATTTTACTGTGTGGAAATTTTACCTTAAAAAGAAAGGTCTAGGCTGAGTGTGGTGGCTCATGCCTGTAATCCCAGCACTTTGGGAGGCTGGGAATGGCAGATCACCTGAGGTCAGGAGTTTGAGACCAGCCTGGCTAACATTGTGAAACCCCGTCTTTACTAAAAATATAAAAATTAGCTGGGCATTGTGGTGCATGCCCGTAGTCCCAGCTACTTGGGAGGCTGAGGCAGAAGAATCACTTGAATCCGGGAGGTGAAGACTGCAGTGAGCAGAGACTGTACCACTGCACTCCAGCCTGGGCAACAGAACGAGACTCCGTCTGAAAAAAAAAAAAGGCCTGAGGAGGCAACTGAGTACTAGACAGGTAAGGTTCCTGACCTTCGTGAACTTTCAGTACTGGAATGACAGGCAGGTAACTAAGCAAACACAGCAGAAAGCATTAAATGCAATGATTATGGTAATATGAGCCACTGAAGGGAAGGGCCCCTTATAGGGGAGGGGCACTGAATCCATTCTGGATGGTCTGGAAAGTGTTCCGGGAGGAAGCAAAGTGCTAAAGGATGAATAGGAGTTAACCAGGATAGAAAGAATGGAATTCTATTCCAAGCAAAAGACACATAACATGCACAGCTTTTAGGCAGAAGTGCATAAAGCATATGAGGAACTGAGGAGATTTGCTTTGCTTTGCTGAAGAGCAGAAGATGAGTTGGGGCACGGTAAGAGATGAGGCAGAAGTGGCTGGCAGGACCCAGCTCATCAGCTGGAAAGCCACGTGAAGGACCACGGTGAGCCATGGACAGGTATATCCTCATGTTCAGCTATGTTCTATCTTTCTATTCCTCCTGCCCCTCAGAGCCCAGGGCTAAGCCAAGCCTCCTTTTGGCCCATTCAGCAATTCCCAGTCACTTTTTTGGACCTCTTGGACAGAGCCTGAAAGGGACCCTGACTGACATGCATGGCCAACACCAAGAGGCTTAGCTTCTGTGGCCTCACTTTGCATCTCTGCTCCTTGGCGGGCCTACTACCTCTGCAAACCTGTCCTAGGAGCCTCCTCTCTTCCAAGCCTTGTCCTGGGCTCAAAACTCAGAAGTGCTTCAGAGGTGATCCTAGCCTTGAGGAGCTTCCAGTCTAATGGGGAATACAGGCAGGAAAATTAGTATAACCTGGGGTGAAAAGTACTTTGATAAACGGCTCCTGAGCAGTGTGACTTCTGCTTCTGCTCTGGGTGCAGTGCCTTTTGCAGCTGGGTCTCTTTCGCCCACCTTGTCCTTCCCTGGCCAGGGTTCAGCAACAACTAGCACAGCACCACATCCTGGCAGCAGACGGATGATTCTGAAGCACACCTTGGCATGGGTCCCTCCACTGCTCAAAATCCTCTATCCCCCAATGGGTCTAAGTCAAAGTCCAAGCTCTTTTGCCTGGCACATCTGCAGGCCTGGTATAGATAGGGTGGAAATAAGTGTCGGCTGAAAGAGTATGTGACCTAATGACCGAGTGGATGAGTGAGCAGGTAAGAGAGGAGTGAAGCATGAGCAAGTCAGGCAATGAGTGACTAAACAGTCAGCAAAGAGAAAGTTAAGGAGTCCATGAATTACCACTGGTCCCCCTCCCATCTTCTTTTTTTTGAGACAGAGTTTCTCTCTTGTTGCCCAGGCTGGGAGTGCAGTGGCAGGATCTGAGCTCACTGCAACCTCTGCCTCTCAGGTTCAAGTGATTCTCCTGTCTCAGCCTCCTGAGTAGCTGGGATTACAGGCATGTGCCACCACGCCCGGCTAATTTTGTATTTTTAGTAGAGACAAAGTTTCGTCATTTTGGCCAGGCTGGTCTCAAACTCCTGACCTCAGCTGATCCACCTGCCTCAGCCTCCCAAAGTGCTGGGATTACAGGCATGAGCCACCATGCCCAACCCCCCCTTCCATCTGCAGTACACTGCAAGTTACTCAAGAACAAGGCACACTGTGTGTCAAGCCCCACCATACCCCTCGCTGGACATTTGGTCTAATATACCAGACAAGCTCAGTAACTATTTGCTAACTGAATGAGTTAATCAGCAGGTGGACAAGTGACTCCAGATGATGATTAGAAGGGCTGGGATTGGGTTGAGCAGGGTAGGGTGACTCACGGGTGCTGCAGCACGTTGGAGCACAGTGCTGGGTCCACCTTCTGCCAACAGCCCAGATGGGCGGCGGCCTTGTGCAGCAGGTCACAGTAGCTGGCAGGCAGCAGGTGCTGCATGAGGATCACGGAGGTGCTGATGGATACCAGCAGGAAGAGTTCACAGGACCAGCGCTTGTCATAGTAATGTGTGTTCTGAGGGTAGCAGAAGGTGGGTGAGGCCTGGGATGCCCATAAATGTCCTCATTCCCTCTCCTTCCCTGATTCTACCTGACTCAGAGGTTAGGACAGTCCTGGGGAGACCTCAGAATGGCCCAAAAGCAAGAATCAAACACCCAACAAAGAAGGCTTAGGCCCTGTGCCCACTAGTTGATTTTCTACAGGGAAATCTGTTCCTACTGCCCACTACTCTGAGCCAGAGAACAGGATCTTGGGTCCAAGAGACCTGAATTCAAATCTTGGCTCTTTTGCTTATTAACTATGTGACACTGGGCAAGTCATTTACCTTCTCTGCGCTTTAGTTTCCTCATCTGTCAAATGAGGATAAGAGCAACCACCAGGCTGGACACAGTGGCTCACGCCTGTAATCCCAGCATTTAGGAGACTGAGGTGGGTGGATCACTTGAGGTCAAGAGTTCAAGATCAGCCTGGCTAATATGGGGAAACCCCGTCTCTATTAAAAATACAAAAATTAGCCGGGCATGGTGGAACACACCTGTACTCCCAGCTACTCAGAAGGCTAAGGAAGGAGACTTGCTTGAACCTAGGAGGCAGAGGTTGCAGTGAGCTGTGATAGCGCTGCCACTGCACTTCAGCCTAGGCGACAGATTGTGTCTCAAAAAAACAAAACAAAACACAACTAACTAAAAGGCTGGTTGTAGGTCTCACACCTGTAATCCCAGCACTTTGGGAGGCTGAGGCAGGCGGATCACTTGAGGTGAGGAATTTGACACCAGCCTGGCCAACATGGTCTCTATTAAAAATACAAAAAAAAAATTAGCTGGGCATGGTGGCACACACCTGTAATCCCAGCATTTGGGAGGCTGAGGCAGGAGAACTGCTTGAACCTGGGAGACAGAGGTTGCAGTGAGCCAAAGTCGTAGCTGAGCGTGTCTGGTATATTAGACCAAGTGTCCAGGGTGCCACTTCATTTGAGCTTAAGCAACAGAGTGAGACTCTGTCTCAAAAAAAAAAAAAAAAAAAAAAAGCCGGGCATGGTGGCTCACGCCTATAATTCCAGCACTTTGGAAGGCCAAGGTGGGTAGATCCCAAGGTCAGGAGTTCAAGACCAGCCTGGCCAAGAGGGTGAAACCCCATTTCTACTAAAAATACAAAAATCAGATGGGCATGGTGGCAGGCACCTGTAATCCCAGATACTTGGGAGGCTGAGGCAGGACAATTGCTTGAACCCAAGGGGCAGAGGTTGCAGTGAGCCAAGATCGAACCACTGCACTCCAGCCTGGGTGACAGAGTAAGACTCTGTCAAACAACAAACCAAGAAAAACAAAAATTAGGTGTGGTGGCACATGCCTATAGGAGAATTGCTTGAACCCTGAAGGTGGAGGCTGCAGAGAGCCGAGATCACACCATTGCATTCCAGCCTGGGCAACAGAGTGAGACTCTGTCTTTAAAAAAAAAAAGAAGACATTAAGTCCTCTCAAGCCCACTGCAGCTGAGGAGATACCTTCCCAGGAAACCATATAAGCAATAAAAGAGAGTACAGACTTTTGAGGTCACTCAGACCTGGATGAACCCTGACTTCCTTACTAAATGATAAAGCCAGACATTGTGACATGCCTGTGTCACAACAGCTGCTGAAACACAAACTCACAGGTCTTTGTAATCAAGTAGTATGAGTAACAATGACATGTCTCCCTCATTGGCTGTGTGACCTTGGACAGGTCACTTCCCTTCAGTGAGTCTAGTTCTCTGCACTCTAAAATGGACGCAGACTCGGCACGCTGGCTCATGCCTGTAATCCCAGCACTTTGGGAGGCCAAGGTAGGAGGATCAGTTGGAGCCAGGAGTTTGAGACCAGCCTGGCCAACATGGTGAAACCCCATCTCTACTTAAGACACAAAAATTAGCTGGGCATGGTGGCACACATCTATAATCCCACCTACTTGGGACGCTGAACCCAGGAGATGGAGGTTGCAGTGAGCCAAGATCTTGCCATTGTACTCCAGCCTGGGCAACAGAGCGAGACTCTGTCTCGAAAAAGTAAAATAAAATAAAATGGACACAGGCTGGATATGGTGGCTCATGCCTGTAATCCCAACACTTTGGAAAGCTGAGGCAGGAGGACCACTTAAGACCAGGAGTTCTGAGACCAGCTTGGGCAGCATAGTGAGACTCCATCTCTATAAACAAATTTAAAAATTAGCTGGACATGGTGACTCATGCCTATAGTCCAGCTACTTAAGAGGCTGAGACAGGAGGATCACTTGAGCCCAGGAGGTTGAGGCTGCAGTGAATCATGACTGTGCCATTGCACTCCAGTGTAGGTGACAGCAAGACCCTGTCTCTAAAAATAAAAAATAAAATGGGCCAGGTGCGGTGGCTCATGCCTGTAATCACAGCACTTTGGGAGGCTGAGGCAGGCAGATCATGAGATCAGGAGATTAAGACCGTCCTGGCCTGGCCGGGCGTGGTGGCACATGCCTATAATGCCAGCACTTTGGGAGGCCGAGTCGGGTGGATCACGAGGTCAAGAGATTGAGACCATTCTGGTCAACAAGATGAAACCCCGTCTCTACTAAAAATACAAAAATTAGCTGGGCATGGTGGTGCGCGTCTGTAGTCCCAAATACTCAGGAGGCTGAGGCAGGAGAATTGCTTGAACCCAGGAGGCAGAGGTTGCGGTGAGCCGAGATTGTGCCATTGCACTCCAGTCTGGGTAACAACAGCAAAACTCCATCTCAAAAAAAAAAAAAAGACCACCCTGGCCCACATGGTGAAACCCTGTCTCTACTAAACATACAAAAAAATTGGCTGAACGTGGTGGCGCACGCCTGTAGTCCCAGCTACTCTGGGGCAGGAGAATTGCTTGAACCCAGAAGGTAGAGATTGCAGTGAGCCAGGATCATGCCACTGCACTACAGCCTGGTGACAGTGTGGGACTCCATCTCAACAACAACAAAAAAATGGAGACAGTAGTCATTTTGGCCTTCCAGAGGAGACAGATGGGAAATCACATCAAAAAACAACAGAGTTAGTTATGCCAGCAGGAGAGCTCACATAAAGTAGGCAGCAGGGTAAGCTCCCAGCTAGGCCCTTTCCCTCCCTGGGTTGAGCGACGCACCTTTACAAACCAGACAGGCACAAAGGCCACATAGTAGGCGCTCAGCATGGAGCTGACAAGCACTTCCTTCATGCGCCAGTTGAAGTCCATCTTGAGGAACTCCACCTCACTGCGGATGAGGCTGGGCGACAGGCAGCAGGCATGGGTGGGCATGGCGTCTGGGCCATACAGCTGTCTCGTGTGCTGCTTCCACGTCTCCCGAAGCGTCAGCAGGTAGTCCCGGCTCCTCGCCAGGCCACTGACCGCCTCCCGGGGCCCCATGGAGGCCATGTGGTTGAAGAGGCTTGTCTTGCGGAGGTCGCAATTCAGCTGCAGGAACGGAATGTACATCCCAAACCTGCTGGGGAAGACGGTGGTGAGGGAAGGCCTGCCCACGGGCCAGGATCCCTACTCTCAGCCATTGAGGAGATCTTTCCTCCCTGGGCCTCAACTCCCTGGCTGCCCAGAGGGAAGAATTTACCCATCCTTCCATCCATCTGGGCAGTCACTGAGCACATGTATTCCCACTCAGTATGTGCCAAGCACTGGGGTTATAGCAGAAATGCTGAGCATTGGGGATACAGTAGGAAGCGAGACAAGTCCCTGTCCTCGAAGTCCAGGGATGACTCACAACAGCAACAGCCCACATTCGCTGCGCACGGCCTATGTTCCAGGCACTGTACTGAATGCTCTCAGGGAAACTCTTTTTTCTTTTTTTTTTTTTTTTTTTGAGACGGAGTTTCGCTCTTGTTACTCAGGCTGGAGTGCAATAGCGCGATCTCAGCTCACCGCAACCTCCGCCTCCTGGGTTCAGGCAATTCTCCTGCCTCAGCCTCCTGAGTAGCTGGGATTACAGGCACACACCACCATGCCCAGCTAATTTTTTGTATTTTTACTAGAGATGGGGTTTCACCATGTTGACCAGGATGGTCTCGATCTCTTGACCTCGTGATCCACCCGCCTCGGCCTCCCAAAGTGATGGGATTACAGGCATGAGCCACCATGCCCGGCCGGAAACTCTTTTTTCTTATAAGAACACTACACGTTAGTTACTGTTATTTTCTTCCCTTTTCAGCTGAGGAAGCCATGGTTCAGAAAGGTGAAGAAAATTCCCAAAGCTTACACAATTAGTAAGGAAGTGAAAGGGTGGGTGGGTGGAGGGGCTCAAAATCAGAACTATTTGGTATCAAAGAACAAGGCACATATTCAACAAATCATTATGAGTAATTAATTAAAAGTGTATATAGCGGACAAGCACAGTAGCTCATCTGTAATCTCAGCACTTTGGGGAGGCTAAGGTGGGAAGATCACATGAGCCCAAGAGTTCAAGACCAGCCTGGGCAATATAGTGAGACCCCATCTCTACAAAACAGATTTAAAAATTAGGCAGGTGTGGTGGTATATACCTGTAGTCCCAGCTACTCAGGCTGAAGTGGGAGGATCACCTGAGCCTAGGGGTTGGGGCTGCAGTGACCCATGATTGTGCCACTGCACTCCAGCCTAGGGGGCAGAGTAAGACTCTCTCTCCAAAAAGAAAAAACAAATAAAGAAAAAAAAAAACTATAGGAAAAAAAAAAAGACTCTGTCTCCAAAAACAGAAAAATGTACACACAAAAGAGAGGTATGAGTTATGGGTACATATGAAAGCAGCTCTTTAGTTGCAGAGGGCAGTTCAGGAATGAATATTTATGTGTTTATCATGTACCAGGCACTGAAATGAGCCCCTGAACAGAACAAATCCTTTTCCCTGAGCAGTACCCTGAGAGCAGGACTGGAGTTAATTAGTCAAGGAGTTTTTGTGTGTGGCTCCTATTGTATGAGAACACTAGATGGGACCATAGTCTAGAAGACTAATTACAAAAAGTGGGTAAGTGCCAAGCCCATCATAGTAGGGGCTTTTATAAATATTTCCTTTTTTCAGCTTTGGGCCTCTTAATTTTCCCAGGTCCTCGGAATTACACAACCCCACAGGGGTTCCTGAGCTGCCCCCAGGCGTTAGGGCTGATCACAATGCTACAGAGTCTCACTCTGTCACCCAGGCTGGAGTGCAGTGGCGCGATCTCAGCTCACTGCAACCTCCACCTCCTGGGTTCAAGCGATTCTCCTGCCTCAGCCTCCCCAGTAGCTGGGATTACAGGCAGCTGTCATCATGCCCAGCTAATTTTTATATTTTTGTAGAGATGGGGTTTCACCGTGTTGGCCATGCTGGTCTTGAACTCCTCCTGACTTTAGGTGATTCACCCACCTCGGCCTGCCAAAGTGCTGGGATTACAGGTGTGAGCCAGCATGCCCAGCTGACAATGCTACATTTTAGGAGGCGGAGGTTGCAGTTAGCCGAGATCATGCCACTGCACTCCAGCCTGGGCAACAGAGACTCCATCTCAAAAAAAAAAATTTCCTTTTTTTTTTTTCTGGGGTTCCCAAGAAAGGATATCTGAGTGTCCCCGGGCAAGTTATTTAGCCTCCCTGGGTTTCTGTTTTCCAGTCTATAAAATAGGGATGCAACCAGTTTTCCTTTGGCAAGGCTAAATAAGATAATTTACAGCACTGTGGTGAATTCTGCTGTACAGTCCAAAACAAAAAAACAAGAGAACTGTGGTCGCGAGCATAACCTTTAAGGTCAAACAGGCCTGGATTAAAATCTCAGCTCTGGGCTGGGTGTGGTGGTTCAAATCTGTAATCCCCAGCACTTTGAGAGGCAGAAGTAGAGAAATTGCTTGAGCCCAGGAGATCAAGACCAGCCTGGGCAAGATGTTGAAACCCTTGTCTCTATAAAAAAATACAAAAAGTAGCTGGACGGCTGGGCGCGGTGGCTCACACCTATAATCCCAGCACTTTGGGAAGCCAAGGCAGGTGGATCACGAGGTCAAGAGATTGAGACCATCCTGGTCAACAAGGTGAAACCCCGTCTCTACTAAAAATACAAAAATTAGCTGGGCATGGTGTCGTGCGCCTGTAGTCCCAGCTACTCGGGAGGCTGAGGCAGGAGAATTGCTTGAACCCAGAAGGTATTACACTAATGTTTCCATAAATACTCACTTTTAGTCCTACAACAACCCCTAGCACAGTTTCCCGCCCAGAATAGATGACCAATAGAATTCTGATTAGAAAAGGAAGAGGCCAGTGATTCTACAGGGACAGGAAAAAATACTAAAATGGGATTCCCAAAATACTCTCCAGGGTATCTTGTGGTAATGAGGAGGTGGGGGTATCTATATGAACATATACAAGGGTCTCTACCTTAAACTTAAAGCATCTCCCTGGCTTTGTCTCTAAGAAGGACTGCAGATAGATCCTATGATCAATTAAATTATTTGGTGGCAGACTGCTCTGACAGGTTAGAAGTTAGAAGCAGCTTCATATGCACGATAGCAGATTCCCTCCCATCTCCTCTACCCTACATTTGAGTGTATCAAAATAGAAAATAAATCTGTATCAGCCAAAAAAAAAAAAAATGGGAGTGAGGGTCACCAGTGCACAAATGTTCTGACAAATTCAGAAAGCAGAAAAAGACATGTCGACAGATGAAGAAGCAGCCATTGTCTAGAGCATCGCTTTCCAACAGAAATATAAGTCATAGCTGGGTGTGGTGGCTCACGCCTATAATTCCAGCACTTTGGGAGGCTGAGGTGGGCGGATCACCTGAGGTCGGGAGTTCAAGCCTAGCCTGACCAACATGGAGAAGCCCCGTCTTTATTAAAAATACAAAATACACACGCCTGTAATCTCAACTACTCAGGAGGCTGAAGCAGGATAATCACTTGAACCTGGGAGGAGGAGGTTGCAGTGAGCCAAGATCATGCCATTATACTCCAGCTTGGGCAACAAGAGCGAAATTCCGTCTCAAAAAAAAAAAGAAGAAGAAATATATTAAAATTTTCCAGTAGCCACATTGAAAAAGAGATGAAATTAATTTAAAAATTCTATTTTACCTAACTCATTACATGCAAATACCATCACTTTAACATATAATGAATATTTTGGGATGTTTTACTTTCATTTATTTTATTAAGACAGGGTCTTGCTGTGTCACCCAGGCTGCTGGAGGGCAGTGGCATGATCATGGCTCACTGCAGCCTCAACCTCCTAGGCTCAGGAGGTAGCATGCATCTGTAGTCCCAGCTATTTGGGAGCCATTCTCTGACCTCTTGAATAGCTGGGACTACAGGTACGTGCCACCATGCCCAACTAATTTTTATATTTTTAGTAGAGACAGGGTTCTTCCATGCTGCCCAGGCTGGTAACATGTTCTGCCATGTTGCCCAGGCTCTCAAACTCCTGGGCTCAAGCAATCCACCCTGCCTTGGCCTCCCAAAGTATTGGGATTACAGCACACTGTGCCCAGCTCTGCTGTCTCTCTCGCTCTCTCTTTTTTTTTTTTGATACAGGGTCTCGCTCTGTTTCCCAGGCTGGAGTGCAGTGATACAATCTGTTTACTGCAATCTCCACTGCCCCTGGGGTCAAGCCGTCCTCCCACCTCAGCCTCCCAAGTAGCTGGGACTACAAGTGCAGGCTACCATGCCCAGCTAATTTTTGTATTTTTGGTAGAGATGGCATTTTGCTAAGTTGGCCAGGCTGGTCTCAAACTCCTGAGCTCAAGCAATATGCCTGCCCTCAGTCTTTGAAAGTGCTGGGATTACAGGCATGGGCCACCGTGCCCAGCCTTCTTTTGTGCATGTACTAAGTGTTCAGGATCCGTGTGTATTTTACACTTAGAGCACATCTCAACTCGGACTTGCCTATTTCATGTGCTCAGTAACCACAGGGGGTTAGTAGCTATTCAACTGGATGGCACAGGTTGACAATATGCCGTGAGAGAACTAAACTGGAGGTAGGAGCTTATCTAGCCAGAGTGACCCAAGAGAGACTCTGGCTTGAAGTGGGCACATTTAATAGAAGATGAAGTGAGGAGCAGGGCTGAATAAATGGGATAAAACAATGACCCATGTTTATAAGACTCAGTTCCTTTATTCCCCTACTCACCTCATACAACACACCCTGAAGGATTTTTTTCCAAAGAAATTTAATCAACTGTTAGAGAACTGAGGTCTCTAATGGGGATATCTTAGAGGAACATCCCCACCACTCCCTTTCTGGCCTAGGGAGGCTCAAAGTCTAACAACCAGCACTGCACTCACTCATCCTCAAAGCAAAGCTTGTCAGCTGGTGGGCCCTGCCCACGTACTTAGAGCTTCCAGTCAAAGCTCCTGCCCGCTTCAACAATGACAGAGGGAAAGAAAATGCACTCCTGCTACTCAGTCCTTCATTCTTACGTATAAATAGACAAGCAAAGAAGCTACCTATACTTGGAAAACAAGCAGCATGAAACAGAAAAAATGACCCCAGTGAAAAGACTAA